TAGGGAAACAAGGTCTTGTCTCCGCTTTCCATATGTTTTAATTAGCTGATATTTGCAGCTTGCTGGAAAATATGGAGGGAATACACTCCTGCCAGATGAAAAACAGCAATTCATAAAGACTGGAGAATTAGTCGTGAGGTGTCAACATATATTTTTGCATCTACCTTTGGCCTCTTGGACCAGCCAAGCATCTGGTCTAAGTAGATTTTTTGGCTCTCTTCTCGATGGAAAGAGACTGGTACCCTGAAGGTGGTTCATTCTATGCCAGTGCACATGTCCAAGGTGGGATGCACCACATTCTGGGAGTGCCGAACTCCTCCTGGAGATGATAGCCTGAAGGATGAGGTCCACACAGCAGCTAACGCTGTTCAGAATGGTTCTCCACTTTCTGGGCAGCAGCCTTTCCCCCACAGTTTTGATCACTTCCAGTTCCCACCTCACCTCCCATGAGTTCAGAGTGGACAATTTCATAGAATCATAGAATCACATGATGGTTTGGGTTGGAAGGGACCTTCAAAGATCACCTGTTCCAACATCCCTGCCATGGGCAGGGACACCTTCCACCAGACCAGGTTGCTCAAAGCCCCATCCAACTTGACCTTGAACACTTCCAATATAAGACATCCACAACTTCTCTGCGCAACCTGTTCCAGTGTCTCACCACCCTTGTCACAAAAAAAATCTTCCTTGTATCCAATCTAAATCTACCCTCTTCCAGTTTAAAACCATTATCCCTCATTCTATCAATACATTTCTCTGAACTACCTTCTGGATAGAGGTTCTTGTCTGTCTCCATTGAAGGAGAGAGAATTCCCTTTAGATGATCAGCTTAGACAAGACATTAGGAGGGATAGAACCTACCCCAGGAATTTCACCCTTCCCCTGTCTTTGGCTTCTCTGATAAAGGAAGACTATACAAATACAGGACAGATGCAATAGTGGTGGCAGTTGTTTGGTCAGGGTATTTATCATAACTATTAGGAACCAGTTTGATACTTCCAATTCATTTGCCACAGAGCATAACAATGCTTTCAGATGCTAATGAATTTCAATATATCCTTGCAAATTAAAGTATTACTACTTTCTAATTATCATCTGCTAATAATGATCCTCTTCTACAAGCAATCTAAAGAAAAATTAAAACTCCAGCTTGTCAGAGCATTTGTTTTCATCGGAGTACTCACCAGTGGTTCTCCTCGGGAAAATGTTGTGGCAGAGAAATTACCGAGGAGCTTGCAATTAAGAGAGATTGCAGTGACAAGTCTGACACAATAGGAAGAAGGTTTCAAAAGGGACATGGCAAGAGAAGGGGCATCTCATTCATTTAGCACCACAAAAACAATACAAAAAGAAGTAATTAATTAGGGGACAGATTGCTTCCTTCACTGTGTCTCTGAATGTGTAAACAAAATCTCAGTTGTTCACTGAGTGTTCACGAGTTCGACAGAATTGAAAGAAGAAACTCAACCCTCCACAATCTGTTAACATTTTTATTGTCAAATAATAATATAAGGGCCATTTCAGGGAAGACCAGAGGCTGATTGAACAAAATATTTTGTCTCTTACTGTGACCAGAGAAGACAGGTAGGGAAAATGGCAATGACAGAGTGGTCTTTCCCTGCTAACACTGCAGATTCTAGCCATCGACTTTTAGGGGACTTTCTGAAGAGGTTGCACCTGGACCTGTGCTTAGATGCCACCATCAATTGGTCTAGAAATCTCCCTGAACACCTAGTTTTGTCCTTCCAGACATCCTGTGCTAATGATTTCCACAATTTGTTTAGCCACAGTGTGAAAAAGTGTCATCTTTTTGAGGCCAGAACACTGTTTTCTGTTCTTCTCTCTGTGCCTTTCCTAATGCATTGCTGTCTTCTAGCTCCCTCCTTGACCACTGCAGAGCACAAAGCTGATCTTTGCAGAAAACTTTTCACAGGAATTCTGAAATCTTTTTCCTGTGGGCTATTTTATAGCTTGTCATTGCATATGGGTTGTTAGGCTTACTCCTTCCCCTGTGAATTCCTCTGCACTTATTGACATTGATTTTCATCTGCCATTTTATCACTCAGTCATTCAGCATCCAGGCAGACAAGAAAGCTCCAAATTTGGATTCCTTTAGCACCTATTTTTTTACTTAAAAGGTTTTTTTCCGCCCTTTTTTTCCTAAGTAGAGCTACATGTGCAATGCAATCACTTTTAGCAGTTTGTCTTCTGGAATAAACCCACCGTGTCCCAGTAGCTATTTGCAGCGTAATGTTGTGCTGTCACCTCCTCACGCTACAAGGTCCTGACATTTCAAGCAAATGTCATCGCGTCACAACTTTCTATCAGCACAACTCACTGCTGTGATGCACGTGGTGCTACAAGCCCTTGTTTCTTATGGGATCTCCAACTATCCAAGAGGAGCCAGCATGATTTCATAACGTACGCATTTCATATCTCAGAGCTTAGTTTGGATCTGCAGCGCTACCTGGGTAGTGGCAGCAGATGTTTTCTCTCAGTAACTGTGAGATTGAACTTTGAGCTATATGCTGAAACTCTTTAATTCCGTTATGTTCATATGGAAACATGAGAGGAGCCTTCTGCCAAAGCAAGCCAAGGCCTTTGGCTGTACGTGCATAATGTGAATTACCCATTTCTGTGCCCATTTGCAGGAGCCAGCTCCCAGCACTGGAACTGTGCCATTATCAGAAAAGAAACACAGAAATGTCCAATCTAACCTCTACAATCTACTGTAAAGAAACCGTGAGATCTTTCTTTCCCTCTCCACGGAAGTCATCCATCCAAAGACACTTTGTGGGAGAGCAGGGCTCTCTCTGTAATTAGATTTGATTCCAAGACAATCAGCTGAAGTCAGGAAGGGATTGGAGCAGTTGCTGTGTGAGGGGCATATGCAAATGGGAATTTACGGCTTTGGCATGTGCAAATGGGAATTTAGGGCTTTGACAGACTGCAAACTATGTTTCCCTGCAAAACATCCTAGGAAATGCAAGGCAATTGAGATTGCTTAGCCTTCTTGAAAGAGGGATAAGCGGAGTAGTGCTCTGTGATAAGAACACATACACATGCCATTGCCCTGGAACAGGATGACAAGTGGCAACTTTGCTTTCCCACTTTAACTTACTCGAGTGTACACGCTCTTTGTCTAAGCTGGAATGCAAAATTAAGTTGTGCTCTATCAACTGATCAGAGCTGGCTTGAGAGCCAAAGTACACACAAATTATTATTACTGTAACTGGTTAATCAGACCAGCCATCAGACCTCAGGACTGAACACCATGAGCAACTGTCAGCGTACGCTGCTGATAAGTCCAATCCAATACATATGGAACTAGCTAAGAGAAAAAATTCTGCCTCATTTAAAATCACATTATCCAGCCTGCCACCCTTCACTGGCTTTTGGCCTGTCACACAAACTAATGGACAGGAACCCTGAAAAATACTCGTTGTGAACCTAGGAATGGGTAAGAGCCTCTTATGTTTGACAAAAACCAATTAAGATCAACTAAACCTTCTATTGTGCCTTTTCTGAAAAAGCACGTCTGCCATATCACTTTAAAAGCTCAATTGTATTCCTAGTTGTCAAGCAAACACCAACAAATATTAAAGAACTTGCCGTTCAGTGGGCAAAATAATTAGAGGAGCAGTAACCTTCAACAGCAGATGCCAGTGACAGGTGACATGTGCCAGTATCCTGGATGACTCTTTGAACAGGGCACCAACTAGATCACAACGCTGACAGATCTCACAGCAGGTAAAGACAACTTTCGGAAAGCCACGGATAGGAGTGAGATATTGATGTTTATACCACCAGATACCTCTGCAAGTTTTTGACAAAGTGCTAACACACAACTGGTGTGTTTATATTGTATAGCGAGAATAAATGGCCACCACTGCGGTGGCTTCTCCCATAGCAGTCAGATGTGCAACAGGTACCTTCCGCTTCTCTTCGAGGTTCTCGTTTCATGATCCTGCAAAGATCAGTCATCAGTCCTATCTTGGCATGAATTAAACACAGGTGTTGGAATGTAGGACTAGGAGCAATCTTTTGGGTCATTTAGTCCTGTCATCCATTATGTCAGCAATCCTGCCATATAATCCCCTCCAAAATTAATGAACTTCATCTTAAAAGCAGCAAGTAATTTTTTTCCTCACTGCCCTAGAGGCTATTCTGAAACTTCACTGCTCTGATGGTCAAATATCTAATCCAGGTCAAAATGATGCCCTTCAGGCAGGGAGATGCTGTGAAGAACTAAGGAAAATGCTGGTTTTACCTCCTAGCAAAAATACACAGCTCCCATTCAACTCAGTGATCTGAAACATTGGTTCCCTGACTCCTAATTGACTTTGAATCAACAGGTTGCAACCCTGTCTGAATCTCTTCCTTTACCTCAGCTCAACAGATAAGTTTGTTCTTTCTCTCAAACAATGACTTAGTCTTGAGGTTTTCTTGCCATTACTTCTAGGCCAGATTATCTTCTGTGGATTTCTGTTTGACCAAATATGATATGTTTTTCCACATATCATCCACCCCTGTGGCTTCCAGGCCATGCAATAGTTACAGTGCTGGCTGAAAGCCATGATTTTAATTGTCAAAGCAATCAGGGGATTAGTCCCTGCTACATGAAAGTCTAAAATTTTTGATCTGTGAACTGCCGCATCTGTACTTCACAGCATAGCTCACAGTGGATGAAGACTGAGGGTAAATGTTTCAAACAAGGGGATCTGGCTGTAAAACAGCATTTGGGAGAAACACAAGATCTGATCATTTCTCAGAAACATTCTCAAAGCTTTCTATCCGAAACAGATTTTTCATTATTTCTGTCACCATGACGACAGCCAAAAAAACATGATAGTGAGGATTCATCTCACCATCTTTATCTGTCTACTGTATAAATGTTTCCTTTGGAGATATTTGCTGTAGTTTCCTTTTATAGTCAGTGGGGAGGAAAAGGTGTTTCTAGGAGGAGTCATATAGCCTCTTACGGATATCTGCTTTAGGGTGATATGAATTGCACCCTAGAAGTAGGTATTTCTCTCCACTGATTGGAAAAGCTCCAGATACTTGCTTGGATGCTCAACGCAGATGCCTGCTTTTTGCCAAACGACTGCTGCCCTGCTAGAGAAAGAAACCAAACAGGAAGATCCTAATATTCATATATTCATATATTCCAAGCAGAATTATCACTCGCTTAGAAAAGGATGTTACAGGCTTCTACATTCTTTTACTGTTCCTTTACATTCTTTGAGTGTCTTGAAGACACTCAAATATTATGCTGAGCAGCATTCTGCCACCGTAGGGTAGATGAGATGGATGACTCTATTACTATCTGTGGAGTTATTTTTAATTTATACTAACATTAAAGAGAGGTGAATGGGGCCCTTAACTTCTTATTCCTGCCTTAGTCATGGGCTTTCTCTGTGACCTTGTGAAAATTGCTTTGTCTGTTATTTTCCTGATATGTAAAATTGGGATGATCACGCTCACAGACTGCTATGAGGTCTAATTAGCAAGTGTAAAGCACCATGAAATCCTCTGATGGAAGATGCAGAGTATACCTAGCTTGGGATAAAGAGGATTAAAGGAGGTTGTGCTAACATAACAAATACTTGAGAAATGATGCTTTACGGGGAGGTGAAATGGCATATATCTGCAGGTGAGGAAATGAGAATCAGCAGTCTGTAACTGTTGTCAGCAGACCTCAAATCCACTGGCAGGAATATGTCTACAAAGGAGGTTTGGACAATGAAATGAATCACCTAGCGGAGTTCAGAAATGGGTGAAATACTATAGGGTAGTAGAATTATCCTAGGAAAAACCTTTCCACATTTATCCATCTGGAGTTTGATTGACTTGATGGATCTTTCGCAGCCTTTTTCATCGCCATTTCTGAAAGATTCATGAGTGTAACATTTTCACATACATGGCTTAATATTCATACCAGGAGCAATAACGCCATGTTTCTGAACATGCAAGACACATCGTTATTACAAAACCTTTTCCTTTCAGCAGTTCACTAAGTGCCATGTCCTTTTCCAGAAGTGAGCAGGGATTTCTAAGTTGCATCACATGCCAGTTGCACGTGCCTTCTGTGGAATGGCACCAGTTCAAAGCTCCTCATAACCAGGGCTGCCATGTATCAACTGTCACATCCCTTTGAAATGCCATAAAATATATTGCTCCCAACCAAACTAGCAGTCTTACTCTTTCAGGAGTGTCAAACCAGAAACTATCTTCTATTCATCTCATAACTGTTAGGTTGCCGTTACTTTCTGACTGTCTTGCTTTTCTCCTCCCCAGGCATCACCGTGGACAAGTTTGGGCTGATTTACTTTGTGGACGGCACTATGATCAGGCGGATTGATCAGAATGGGATCATCTCAACTGTGTTAGGTTCCAATGACTTGACATCTGCTCGGCCTCTCAGCTGTGACTCTGTCATGGACATTTCTCAGGTAAGACAATGTTTTGGTTGGGTTTCTACAGAATAGAAGCCTATGTCCTCACCCTGTCTGCATGTCTGTGTGCCTCCCCAGGTTTGACAAAGAGGTAAGGGCTCAAGGACAATTACATCTCTACATATTTTATGTTATGAAAATGACTAGTTCAAAAAGAATGATCGTGTAAAGACTGAAGGAAAGACCTAATTGACCTAACTCAGAGGTTTTGGGGAGTGAGATTTTAAAGATTTCCCAGCCACAGAAGAGACTTCTTTCAGAACTCCCATCAACTGGGAGACACAGATTCCTGGGAAGGCAGGTTTCATTAGGCTCATTTCTCAATAAATTAGTTGCTTTAAACTAAAAAGACTAGGCAGCAGTACTCATTTTAGTAGGGCTATATGCCATGCTCTGTTATAACAACTTAGCTAACCATGTTTTTTTTCTTTGCTTCCCCTCATCCTAGTTTGGCCCAGTACAATTTTAGACTGGAATCAAATTAACATGTAGGAAATACTGATTGGAGGCTGTGGTGCCAAAACTAGCAACAGCAGGAAAATGAGAATCTTGAATTGCATCAGATTGCAAATTGGTTGCAGCTACCATCATGCTGGGCTCTTAAGTCCTGCCGCTTAAAGGTGGAGAGGAAAAAAAAAAAAAAAAAAAAGAGAGAAAAAGAAATCTCCATGTGATTATTGCTTTACTTCTGGATGGCGCAGAAGAGAAATTTTTTTACAGCCCAGCACTCAATTTTGTGGGGCACTGGCCAACCTGTCAAATTGTGCCAGCTTAGAGATAGTGTCCTTTGAAACCTTTGTGCCACTTGTTGTTTGCCTGGCTACAGGAATGTTGCTCTCTCCTATGAAAATATGGATCATAGCTGGAGGGCTAAGTACTGTTATTCAGCCACAATAGATGTCAATGGGGTTTCCTTTTTGTAACTACCTAGATAATTTCTGTGCCCCCATATGGAATCTGTTCTTCTTAGTTTTCCCTCTAATTTGAAAAGATTATTCTTGCTTCTTTGCAACTGGTTCCCACTGTCCTCAATTTATGAACAACCTGAAATTATGAGTTTAAAAGCTCTCATGCCTTCTATAGAAGCAAATTTGCTGGTTAAAGGCCATCTTGTAGTATGTTTCTCATCTTACAGGCATAGTTTTTTCTTTATCTGAATTTCAGGGGCAGTTACCACAAGACCATTGTGGATTCAGGCTTTTAAAATTATTTTCTTGCAGGTTATGTGGCTTATATGTATGCCAATGTCATGTTTAAACCCCTCTGAGATGAGCTAAAATGTATCAGCTGAAGACTTTTTTTTTCCCTTCATAAAATGACAGGAGCCATTTTTAGATTAACCAGTATTGTGATGGGCAGATTAACCACTACTGTTCTGGACAAACAACTGAAGGCAAGTTTCATTTTAAAAAAAAGCAACCCAAACCAGGCAAAAGAAACCCAGCTTGGGAAGTAGCTTTTCATCATTTACGGTGGCTAGAAGGGTCTTTTCTGTCAGGTCCCTGAGGCTCCCTGGGACATGAAGACATGAAATATTTAGCTGCCAATGTTGACAAGGAATGGTTTTTAAGAAACTGAAAATTCCCTTGTCAGTTCAAAATAAACTCTGCTTTCGATGCTAACTCAAGGCTGTGGAGCTTAAAGACCACTGGAAGGGATGGAGGCATGCATTATTAAAGAGAAAACCACAGGCTATAATGTTTTACTACAAGAAGGGTTAAAATAGGCCAGGAGCTGAGAAAAGGAAGGAGATTGTGCAAACAGAGAACCACAGTAAACAGAGCTCAGCACGCTGCTTAGCCATGAAAATAAGCTTCACAAGCCCAGCCATTAGAAGGCTCAATGAACTAAATACCTTGCATCTGGTGCTCTTTAAAACAAAAAAAAAAAAAGTTGAAAAGAGATTTAAACATTAATAGAAACATCAAAAGTTCAGCATGGCTGTGGCAGAGACGTTCGACTACAGGCTTTAAAAACAGGAATCTCCTGTGTTCCTCTAGATCTTACCTGGTCTCTTCTTGTTTCGTTTTAAATAAAACCACAGTGAGAGATGGTTTGCTGGACCTGAGCCTGCTGGCATCTACTCCTTCTCCTTCCAATAAGGTTGCTACCTTATGGATGCAAAGTACACCCTAAACTTGGTCACCTGAGACAAATGAGAAGAATCAGCAACTGAGGTGGATGGTAGGAAAGGAAGGTTTAAAACAAAGGAACAGGGAGATCCTGGAACTGCACAGCCTTGAGTGTGCCCAGATCCCAGAGCTCTCCATTACGGCACACCATGCAGTTGTGTACAGAGGAAAAAACACACGGGTGCAGGGAGAATGGCAAAAAGTGGCCAGTTTCTCAGTTAACCACTAGATACCAAGTCCATCTGCTCTAACTTAGAGTTTCCTGAAAGGGCGTATACAACCAGAACAGCCATTCTTTCTAACTAGTTGAAAATCTATTTAAAAGCCTGGCTGGAGGTGACCAAGAGCATTCTTCATAGTTGTTCGTTTCTAATCACCCTTCACATCTCTGCTATGGGGAAGATGCATCATTAGGAAAACATTTAAGCATTGGTTGGTTTCCATCAGCACAACGTTGACTTTTTTTCTGTATAAACTTGAAGTAAAATAAAATAATTTAAAAAAAATGCACACCTTACAGTTCTTTATATAAAAAATTAAATTACCCTGAATTCTGTTGGTAAAGATTTCTTAGGTTTGGCAAGTAAAAGAGTTGACTCACTTGAAAAAACAGCATATTGCAGGCGTACAGATAGAAATAGAGACTTTCTAGTGCTCACTCACTTGTGGTGTTACCAGTCACTTTTTCAGTTTATTTGTGTATGTGGATTATCAGCGTAGAACTGTGATGTGTCACTAGTACTTGAACTCATTCTTCCATTATGCTAAAAAAAATGTGAAAACCACTATGAAGACACAAGTATTTTATTCCACGGATTGAAATTGCCTGAATTTCTTGTGAATTGCTGTTTTGCATTTTTGCAGCATCAAGCAGAAAATCCGTAGTTATAACTTAGACATAGACACATGCTGACACAGCTGCCAGTTTTGTGTCTATCCCTCCTTGTCATTTACCCAGAGGAGCTCGGCCACTTGTCTGGAAAATCCTTTAGTAAAAGGATCATTGTTTTGTTTGACTGATTTCATCTCACTTCACACAACAAAATTCCCAGCCCCGGGTCTCTGCTATCAAGTCTAGGCTCCATCAATTCAAAAAGCGTAGGATTGCTTGACGACGGGAAATCCCCCTTAAATCTCTGGATCTTCTTGTTTACTGCTACGTTCCCTGGGTGCTGATGCCCCTCCCACAGTCCCTGACACCTCACACCAAGGTGGAGAAGCAGAGAGAAGCCATGGTGCAGCGCAAGGGCTGAAGAGGGTCTGCCTCTGTCCATCGCCCTGCTCCCACCACTGCTGCAATGCAGAGCGCGAGTGTCCACATATGTCTGCTTCATGTGACCGGGAGCTAAACCTCCTCACTCACACCAGGGTTCTGTCCTCTATGGCCACCATATCAAGTAGTAATAATTAGTTGTGTTTCTTTTACCTTTTCTCCCTTTAATCCATGCTGAAACATCCTCATTGCAATTGATTTATAGCAATCACGTAGTGAAAAAAGGTCTTGCTATAATAATTTCCTTGTGTTGTTTTACCATTAAGGTTCGTCTAGAATGGCCCACAGATCTGGCAGTCAGTCCGATGGATAATTCACTCTACGTCCTCGACAATAACGTTGTGTTACAGATATCTGAGAACCACCAAGTGCGCATCGTGGCGGGGAGGCCCATGCATTGCCAGGTGCCGGGCATGGATCACTTTCTCCTTAGTAAAGTGGCAATCCACGCCACGCTGGAGTCTGCTACCGCCCTGGCCGTCTCACATAACGGGGTCCTGTATATTGCTGAGACCGATGAAAAAAAGATCAACCGCATCAGGCAGGTCACCACCAATGGAGAGATTTCTCTCGTTGCCGGTGCACCAAGCAGCTGTGACTGCAAGAACGATGCTAACTGTGACTGCTTCTCAGGGGACGATGGCTATGCCAAGGATGCCAAACTCAACGCGCCATCCTCCCTTGCAGTGTGTGCAGATGGGGAGCTGTATGTCGCTGATCTGGGAAATATCCGAATCCGCTTTATTCGGAAAAACAAACCATTCCTCAATACACAAAACCTATATGAGTTATCCTCACCCATAGACCAAGAACTCTATTTGTTTGACACCAGTGGTAAGCACCTTTATACTCAGAGCCTTACCACTGGAGATTATCTTTACAATTTTACTTATTCCGGAGATGGAGATATAACCCTGATCACTGATAATAATGGTAACTTAGTCAATATCCGAAGAGATTCCACGGGGATGCCCCTCTGGCTGGTGGTGCCCGATGGCCAAGTCTACTGGGTGACAATTGGTACCAACAGTGCGCTCAAGAGTGTAACAACACAGGGGCATGAAGTGGCCATGATGACGTACCATGGTAACTCCGGTCTCCTCGCCACTAAAAGCAATGAAAATGGTTGGACAACATTTTATGAGTAAGTATATTATTAATATCGTGCTGCTGACTTCATTCTGTGTTCTGTGAACCACGCAAGGTTGATAGAATTTAATTCCCTGTGCAGAATTATTGTCCAAATAAAGTGGCCAGAACAGAGAATATTTGATCTCACACAAACACTAAATACTGGAAGTAAGTGCATTAGAGTTTGACTAAGCTCTCTCTACCAAGTCAAGATTCAGACAGAGTTTCAGCTGAGTTTTTCCTAAATCAGCTAAGTAATTTGGACACCTGGTTCTCCTTAACTGTAGTTGGGACTGGGGATTTAGGTTGCATGTCAGAGAATTTTTCTTGGCTTTGAAAGCCTTGGAAGTGTGAAAGTTCCATCAGATCCTCTTTTTCGCAGCTTTTCACCTACTTCCTATGCTGCAGTGTCTTTTTTGAGCTTGTTTGAAATGACTGATGTAGAATGACAACTGGCAATGACTAATGACAGCTTGCTCAGAAAACAATTCTGTAATTAATGGCCTGCATGGTTTCTATTGTTGTAATTGTCCCCACTAAGCTTTAAAAATAGTCTCAGAACTGTTCAAGACCATCCCTGCCCCAGAGAGTTTTTTGAGCAGAGAGAAGACAGGATGCATTGAAAAACTCAGAGATGGCAGTGACTTGAAGGTTTGTACTTCTTTTTGTATTACTGTTAGCAATTCCCTGCTTATAAATACCATGAAGACAACACATTTCTCATATCAAATAGGAAAAAGATAGATAATTGAATGGAAGGCATCAAGAAAGATGGTCTGCAAATTCATCCTGCTGTTGAGGACCCTTTCCCCTCTCTCTTCCTTAGTTTCATTTTTATTTTCAAGTCTAGCCTCTTTGAAACGCTCCTTTTAGGGCATAATTTCCCATATGGTTTGAATGGTTACATGGAATTGTTCAACTACTATAGTAATAGAACCACCGTAAGAGTCCAATTTGGCTAGAATAGACAGTTCCCAAGATTACAAAGAAAAAAAAATTGTACAAAAAAGAGACTCAGAGAAGGAAAGCTGCTAAACCCACATATTCATGTTAGACAAACAGTTGCTTTGGTTCTTTCTTTAAAATGTTCCAGGCCCAGCTTCAAATTTCTTTGCTTGATACTCACTATTACTGCTCCTGCCTCAAAAAAAAAACCCTGATGAAAACTCTGTGATGAATCTTTTGAAAGGTTATTTGCATTCCATCAATGTTCTGCTTGCAATTACTATAGCAATATTCCTCAGTGAATCAAAGTAAATACCCTTCCGTCTTTTACATTGAATTTGCTTGGGGGGAGGCTTTAGGGAGGAAAGATGGGGTGTTTTTCTCTATAGGAGTGGAAGCCTGCTATATTGTCAGGACCACTGTGCTAAATCAAGGAGATATTTTCTTTTTGCAAAGAACCTAATAGTTCCTGTGCTTGAAAACAGATGTAGCTGCAGACAGTGAAGCAAACTAAACATTACAGCTAATAATGGTCAGATTTATATCTCAAACATAATCTTTTATTTAAAAATGTGACTGAAAATATAAAGGAGATAAAATGAGACAGAAGCTAAAATCCAACTTACTCTGTGGATGTATTTATAACAGTGATCTATTATTTCTTGCTATCCAGCAAAACAGAGCATTTGTGAAAGTCATCGTTCTGGTCCTTTTATGCACTTCAGAACAGTCATAAGAAAGCTTTTGAGAGCTAAATTGAAGACAGTATTCTCCAGTGGTTAGACTATGGCAATCTTGACTAGAGCAAGTCAGCACTATATGATAGCACAGCATCACTGAAAATGGAATTGGGAATGTGTCTTCAGAGATATCTCATCCAAACCTGTGATCAGTTACCTCTATTTAACTGTTCCTGACAGATTCTGATGCAACTTTCTAAAACTACAGGGTAAAAGTCTACATTTTAATTAGTTACCTCAGCTTCCCTTTGTAGGCAATGGAGAGAAACAGGCACTTTCAAGGTGAGTTTCTCAGGAGTTATGTCAGCTCTCTGCTTTAGGATGAGATGAGACGAGACGAGTTGTATTCGAAAGTTTCTCTCTGTAAAGGTAGTCCAGAATGATTAGCTCAGATACAGATGTTTACATTGCAGATGTCTACAATTTGGCCAAATGGTTCCTATCAAAGTCATCTAAGTTACTCATAAATAGTGCTAGTGATAACAGCATATTTACCTATCTTATTGTTAGAAAGATTTTTCATACGCTCAGTCTAAATCTTCCTTGCTTGCATGGGAGACTGTCACTCCTCATCCTATCCTGTCCTGTCCTGTCCTATCCTACCCTATCTGATCCTATCCTAACCTGTCCACTGAGGACTTGGAGAGCAGATCAGTCTGCTCTTCTTCTCAGCTGTGAAAAGTATGTATCAAATGGCTCAAGAACTTGCTCTGCGATAGCTCTCAGAAGGTAATCAGCAACAGGGAATCACCCAGTGCAGTTATTTCAGGTCAGTTGGCAGGGATTGATTCTACCAAGGTTTTGCGTGCGTAATCTTGGAAAGAATGTAAAATCAGACTGATAAAATTAGAAGATTAGTAAATAACGGTGAGACGCTTAGCTTGCTTGATAAGGTACGTTTCATTTAAACAAAGTGTGTTCTTACACAGCCTGATGCCAGGGTGCACATGTAACAGACCTTATCTAAAGAACTGGGTTGAGCATTGACTCTCAGAGGTTGTAGGGAGCAAAGCATCCACTCATTCAATGTGATCCTTGCCATAATTCCATAGCAAATCTGTCTAACTTGTTGCTTGGATGGACAAACAAAATGAATACGCTTACTCATCCCACTCTACTTGTAGTGAGTAGTAGGAAGCGGATTTTATCCCTGTGCAGCATTGATGACACTAATACCATCAGTTCTGATGTTTGCAGGTTAGGAAGGACAGTGAAAATTGAAGGCTGTGCAGAAAAACACTACAAAAATGCATTTGTGGGGAGAAAGTGCTTTATGCTGGAGAACTAAGATGACTTGATCTATTTATCTTAACGTGAAGAAGACTGGGAAGTGTCTAGATCATAGCATGTCAGCACAAAACTGTCACCTACAGAGGGACTCTTAATCTAGCAGAGAAAGGCTTGAGAAGGGTAAGGGGCTGGAAAGCAAAGCCGGTGTCAGAACATCAGGAGATTTCCATTGGGGAAGTTTAAGTGATTTAGAGAAATCCTGTGATCATGAGCAGCTGAAAGGTGCTCTGAGGAGTTTGCAGTCCTGGCTGAGGGGGAAGGTGAAGTCCATATTTCTGTTTTGCTTGTGGCCAAGGAAATGAAGACATCAAATCTGACTTTGAGGAAAAGCTTCATGTTTCTCACAGCACATAATAATTGTTTATAGGTGTGGGCAAGCTGGACACCACTGTTTAAAAATTTAAGAGTAAATGTAAATTCAGCTGGCAAGTTTACTCTGCACCAGCGGCCCCATGAAGGACATCCTTATAAGATTTACCTTTTCCTGACCGTCTACAGAGGACCATCAACCAGACACCCAACATGAAAGAGCAATGGTGTTGCAAGAGTGGCAACGCTACATGTGTACATATCCAGCATCTCTGGTTCTCCTTCAGTTGTTGCTCTTACCAGGGCATTTCTCAGCCTTTATGGTAAGGCTGCAAAGAGCTGTGATACAGGGGCACGTCGGTGTGACTCTGGAGAGGAGAGAAGGAGGCAGGATACGTTGATGCAGTACTGGAGGAGGTCTATCTCCAGGGCACATCAGGGAACTCAGGTCCTCCAAGGGTTCAAGCCGGGCTGGCACGTTGTCCCTTCATTTCTGTGGGGGAAGGAGACAGGTGCTGTCTTCAGGCGGTGGCAGACTTGCTCACAGCACTCACAGCTCTTCCCTTCACACATCCTACACCAAAGCCTGCTGTAACAATCCTGCTTTATTGGGTTTAGCGCTGAGTAAGGTTCAGTATATAATGGTGTGCAGTTTCCCTTTCCTTTGAGAGTGAAACTTAGCTCCCTGCAGTAATTAGCCTGTCCCCAAAGGCCCACCTAGGACTTCTTTGAGGTTTTTAGCATTATATAGACCTTCTCTGCCTCAGCAGAGGGCTTGACATTTGCTGTCAATTAACGCAATGCAGCTCAGCTTGTCCTGTAACTGGATTAAAGACTTGCCTTCCCATTGAACCTGTGACAGTGATAATCAGAAGGAAAGGAAGATGGTCTGGAAACTCTCTGCCAGGGGAACAGCTTCTTGTTGTTCAACCCCTCAAGTCAAAGACAAAGGATGCTGTGTGTCTACTTGCTTCTTTGTTGTTGCTGCTTTTTCACTTGACCTGAAAAAATTGCTACCAGCCTTTACAAAGTTTCTTACCAGTTGCTGTTTGTCTGCTTCACAATCCGGAAATTCTTATTAATGTATTTGTTTAAATCAAGAATACTGCAATTATCTTGATTAGCTCATTGAGATGGTATCACTGTACGTTAATTCAATTTCCCTGTGAGCCAAAGTCAAACCTTTTATGCATTATTTAACCCAGATGAAGCTCTTTTGCTTAGGTCCTTTGTGTGCCCAATTAGTTTCTAAGGTCACCTCCTCCTATACATAATGAAATACTTACACATCACTGTGGCCAAGCCCAGAAATTCAAAACCCTTTCACGGACTGCCCAAGAAGTGGCTCATGGCTGCCTGGAGGGCAAAGGATCTTGTGGAGCCAAATCTTCAGATGGGTGGTAAGGGGAGCTTTGACCCATAACGTAGTTTGCTGTTTTACAGAGAACCAAACTCTGCCAAACCTCGCACATGGTAATGGGTGGAAGGTAGGAAGCCAGCTGGACTGAGGACCTTGGATGGCTTCCCAATGACTCCCAGGACTCAGCGGAGGTCCCACCCCAGCACCAGCAGTGTTTGGTGCTCCAGCCAATGCCCTGGTCTGGGTGACTGGGGTACCAGAACTGGGCATCATGGTCAGCATCTACCCCACAGTGAGATGCAGACTCAGTCTGCCCTACAGTTGGCATAAAGACTTTGAATTTTTTTCTCTTTTAGTCAAAAACAGAGA